TTGCCCAGGGAAGTTGTGAATGCTCCATCCCTGGCAGTGTTCAAGGCCAAGTTGGACAAAGCCTCGGGTGACATGTTTAGTGTGAGGTGTCCCTGCCCATGGCAGGGGGGTTGGAACTAGATGATCTTAAGGTCCTTTCAACCCTAACTATTCTATGATTTTATCTTAAGGTCCTTTTCAACCCTAACTATTCTTTAATCAGAACTGGCTCCAGCATGCAGTGGTCTAACACCACACACAATTCATCTTTCCTGCCCTGAAAGACTTATGACAGATGTAGCCTCAAATTCATGGACTAAATGAACTCAACAAACCTTGGTAGAGATGGTCTGTAGACTAAGGGAATGGTATCTTTGTCTGTATATCAAGAGACAGAACAGGTGATGGTGTATTGGGAAGTGATGGACCTGGCATGATATAAATGGTACGGAATAAGGGATAGGTACTGTCTTAGTTTCCGCTGGCATAGAGTTAATTTTCTTCCTAGTAGCTGGTACAGTGCTGTTTTGGCTTTATTCTGAGAATAATGTTGTTAACACCCCCATGGTTTTATTTGTTCCTAAATAGTGCTTACTGTAAATCAAGGGCTTTTTTTCCTTTTCCCATGTTCTCTTAGTGAGGAAGAGGAGAAGAAGCTGGAAGAGAGCACAGCCAGGACAGCTGACCCAAACCAGCCAGAGGGGTATTCCACACTTTAGAACATCATGCTCAGTTAGCCAGGAGAGATTGCTGCTTGGGTCAGGCTGGGTATAAGTTAGTGGGTGGTGAGCAATTATATTGGGCACCACTTGTTTTCTGAATTTTTCTTTTTTTTTCCCCCTATAATTATAATAATAATAATTATTATTATTTTATTATTTCTATTATTATATTTTACTTCATTTCAGTTATTAAACTGCTCTTAGCTCAATGGGTTTTACCTTTTTTTCTGATTCTTATCCCCATCCCACAGGGTGGGGAGTGAGTGAGCTGCTGCATGATACTTAGTTGCTGGCTGGGGTTAAACCCGGACATGCACCCAACCATTTATCTTTCATTTAGAATTAGTTTAGTGATGTAAAATTTTAAGATGGCATAAAATTGAAAAAATAAAGGAATTTTGGTTTTGCACTTACTGTCTTTTAAAACTAATCTTCCATTTCACTGGAAAATAGATTTTATCAACCAATTGATATTTGGGACATCTAGGAAAGTATTATAAACAGCATCTTATGAACAAGATGGGGAAACTGATCTATCCTAACAGACATCAAGGTGTATAGGAGAGAAGGGCTGAAGAGCTATTGAAGAAGGCTAAAGTGTGGTATGAAAATCCATTTTGAAAAAGGCTAGAGAAATCAATTTACAAATAAAGCAAAATGTTTAGAAGACAGGAAAATTAAAAAGGAACTACTTGGAAGATACTGAAATTTAAGTTAAAGTAGAAGAAAAATCATATTGCTGCATCTTTCAGTTGGCTGCATAGTCATGCCTGGTAAAAATCCATGCCTCCGCATGGAGACCAGGACTTGAGTCTGGTCTCTGTGTGGCAATTCTGGTGCGGGAGTGGGGGGAGGCCAGTATATAAACTGGGGGGAGTTACCCAGAAGGCCCAGATCACTGCTTGGGTTGGGCTGGATATCAGTCAGCGGGTGGTGAGTAATTGTATTCTCTCCCCTTGTTATTTCCCTTATATTTCATTATTATTATTTTTATTATTATTGGTGGTAGCAGTAGTAGTTTTGTATTGTACCTTAGTTACTATACTGTACTTATCTCAACCCGTGGGATTTACATTCTTTCGATTCTCCTCCCCATCCCTCTGGGAGCAGGGGGAGGAAGAAGGGGGGGAGTGAGCGAGTAGCTGCGTGGTTCTGAGTTACCGGCTGTGCTTAAACCACTACACATGAAAAAAAAATGTTAAAAAGGGAATAGGGAAGATATTTACCTCTCCAAATAGAAAAAAAATCTCCTGACAGATACTTCTGATGTGCTGAGGTTCAGCTGTTGATGAGATGGGGTTTGAGGCTGTCTTCTGACATGTTCTGGGAAGACAAATATCTCCTGCGATTAGGAGGGAATCAAAATACTTCCACCCACAGTAAGGAATATCTTGAGTGGACTTCTCTTCAAAGAAATAGGCCTTGCACCTTTCTGAAACAAATTTGGTTTAGTCCACAATTATAATGCCTGAAAGGTACTATGGACACCAACTTTGAAACTGCAAGCTACTTCGAAGCTAGTCATTAAAGAATGACTTAGAATATATGATGACTGAAACTGTATGGAAGTATTAATGACTTAGAGCTGAGATCTAAAGAAATCCAGGGACAGAAGCAAGCTTTTTTTCAATGAAATGAGGCTGTGGTGCTGCATCCCCCTTACAATCTACCATGGATTTCTGAAATTATTTTATAATGTTGCAGCTAGTGGTAATTTCTTCTGTGTGTCTAGCATATAGCATATTTAAGAGAAAAATCACATCTACAGGCAGCATAGCTGTGCTGGTAAGTCTGCACATGAACATGGTCTATACCAGCAGGACATATTAGTATAAGATGCTTATTTTTTTTGTTACTCAAGTGCGTTATTGGTGAAGCTCTTGTCTAATTTTAGTTATTCAATGATTTCACTGCATCACCTCCTTGCCAGATTATCCTACTTTCAGTCTTAGCCTCTTCTGTGCTCCCTCTGCAGCTATTAAGGGGAGGGAGAGGTCATTATTGCTTCAGAAACAGATCTTTCTTTCTTCAGAAACATATCTTTATTTCTTTCTTTCTTGCTTGCTTTCTTGCTTTCTTTCTCCCTTCTCTCTTTCTCCCTCCCTCCCTTACTCTTCTTTCTTTCTTTTCTTCCTACTCCTTCCTTCCTTCCTTCCTTTCTTCCTTCCTTCCTTCCTCCTCCCTCCCTCCCTCTTCTTTCTTTTCTTCCTACTGCTTCCTTCCTTCCTTCCTTCCTTCCTTCCTTCCTTCCTTCCTTCCTTCCTTCCTTCCTTCCTTCCTTCCTTCCTTCCTTCCTTCCTTCCTTCCTTCCTTCCTTCCTTCCTTCCTTCCTTCCTTCCTTCCTTCCTTCCTTCCTTCCTTCCTTCCTTCCTTCCTTCCTTCCTTTCCTCCCTCTTCTTTCTTTCTTTTCTTCCTACTGCTTCCCTCCTTCCTACAGCTTCCTTCCTTCCTTCCTTCCTTCATCCCTCTTTCTCTCCCTTTTTAGGGAGTATTGTTGATTAACATGAAACAAAACAAAAAAAGCTGTCTTCTACCATAGTATGTATGCTTATTGAGGTGTTTGAAGCAGCATGTGATGTGTAAACATATGTTTGAAAATGTTCGATTCCTTCTGAAAGTGGGTTATAGAAAACCTCTGGAGGCTTAAACCATTGCTTAAGACTATGTGACACTTGCTTTTTATTCATTAATTGTAGATGTGTTCTATCATTAGAGAACAGCAGTTGCATTTCTCTTCCCTACAAGAACTTAGCTGCTTGAAAGCTCTACTTTACCCTTGGACATAGTTATTGAATAAACATACACAAATATTTTTTTGTACTCTCTAAGCCATAACAGTGGCACATTGACAAACTGGCAGACTGGGAAAAGAAAGAAGTATCCAACTGGGTGATAAGTCATTAGCTTTCCCTATGGCATTGCAGGAGTTACTTTAACTTGCTGGGATCAGTCAGCTTCAACATGGGTGTTACTTCTGCTTTCTAATATTATTTTGACATCATGTAGGATGACAGAATAACTAATCAAACATTACACAAGTTTGACATAGAATAGGCACTTTTTTGTCACACATTTTAAGTGACTTGTTTAAATAGCCTTAAAAACAGATCTTCTGATTGACAGCATGAAGTAGTTGGAACTGCAAAAGCCTACAGTAGTTAGAATCATAGAATAGTTAGGGTTGAAAGGACCTTAAGATAATCTAGTTTCAACCACCCTGCCATGCCTCACAGTAAAGAATTTCTTCCTTATATCCAAACTAAACTTCCCCTGTTTAAGTTTGAACCCATTACCCCTTGTCCTGTCACTACAGTCTCTAATGAAGAGTCCCTCTCCAGCATCCCTATAGGCCCCCTTCAGATACTGGAAGGCTGCTATGAGGTCTCCACACAGCCTTCTCTTCTCCAGGCTGAACAGCCCCAACTTTCTCAGCCTCTCTTCATACGGGAGGTGCTCCATCCCCCTGATCATCCTCATGGCCGTCCTCTGGACTTGTTCCAGCAGTTCCATGTCATTTTTATGTTGAGGACACCAGACCTGTACACAGTACTACAAGTGAGGTCTCACAAGAGCAGAGTAGAGGGGCAGGATCACCTCCTTCGACCTGCTGGTCACACTCCTTTTGATGCATCCCAGGATACGGTTGGCTTTCTGGGCTGTGAGTTCACACTGCCTGCTCATGTTCATTTTCTCATCGACCAACACTCCCAAGTCCTTCTCCTTGGGGCTGCTCTGAATCTCTTTTCTGCCCATCCTGTAGCTGTGCCTGAGATCGCCTCAACCCAGGTGTAGGACCTTGCACTTTGCATGGTTACTTGGTGACTTCAACACATTTGATGCTTTTTATATCATACCTTTTTATGTTGAGGTATTTAAATTTATTGTTACCGGCTAAAAGCAGCCATGAAATGTTACCTTTTGGGTTTGATTGCATTTTTAAATTGTTCCTTAGTGCTGTATCTGAAATGTTTATGATTAGGCCCCAATTCAAGCTGTCAATGCTATTGTTACAAAGTATTCCCACTCCTGCCACCTACATGATTTCAAGAGTAATACAGCATTACAAGCCGACTTGAAATACAGTATAGCAAAATGAAGCTGAAGGGATGCATTCCTCTTTTTGAATCTCTTTCCTTATCCTGTGGATAGCTGAAAATTATTAGCACTTTGGATTTTTATTTTTAAATTAACTTTCTAGGCATTTTATTTTATTCAAACAATTGTAATATGAAGCATATGTGTAAAATGCTTGTTTGAGTTAAAGGCAGCAATTATTGAATGATTCATATTTGGGTTTAGTGTTTCCACATGTGACACCCAAAGGAATTCATGGCATAGATTTTAAAGGAGAAGCTATAACTTTCAAGGCAACTACTGCTGGAATCCTTGCTACACTCTCTCATTGTGTTGAACTCATGGTAAAACGTGAAGAAAGCTGGCAAAAAAGACTAGATAAGGTAAGATAACTTTCCTTTTATTTTTGTTGAAAAAATTGTTTCTTTAAGTTGAAATGGAAATTTCAAATTAGCTGGTTTTAACTTTTTATTCCAGCGTTTATTAATTTTAGGTGCTTTCATTATTTATTACTCTGATTAAAATGTTAAAACCTCATCCTGGCTGTTGGTGATACAGTAACATTATTTATTGTATTTTTTTTCACAGCCCTTGTACATATAGTATTCCTATATTTTTTTATATCTATAAAGAGCCTGATAGTATTCTGCAGTAATAAGTGTATTGCTTGCCTTCCTCTAAAAGTCCTAATTATCCATGCTTGCAAAATGTTTGTTGAATGTTGAAATGTTTTAATTGTGATGAGATGGTGACAGTACTGAGGACAACAACCAGTTCTAACTTTAAAAGTCTAAGATACAGTTATTTCACTCACCTTTAGGATATTGAAGAGATTTTTTTAAGTCATGTTTTATATCAATTGGTTATTTTTTTAGGGGTGTGTGTGGTATATCTGTTATTCTTATAGCAGTGGTAAGCCTATTCAACCACTATAGCAACTCAAAAGCAGAAGTGTCTTCTCTCTTCAGATGAGATGTGCTAGAAGAATGGATAGGGTGTACTTCAGGCTTTGACTTCTAGAATCCTGCCATCACTGGCTGGTGTCCTACACAGTCCTTTAGCTGTTGTTGCCTCCTTTTTAATTTAACGTTTCCATATGGTGCATATTACACTTCAAGTCTTACTCCATATGTGTTAGTGGTACACAATTCAAAGAATTAAGTCATTCGGACAAAATACATCCAAATTTAAATCCTTGCCCATATCCTGGCTCTTATTTGTCTGTATGTCAAAGGCCTGGTCCTATCTAATTGTATTGTGACTTCTGTCAACACTTAATTTATTATTGCTTCATCTAGGTACTTGGAAGAATTATAGCAGACCTGAGACTTGAAACTTGCTCATGAGATCATAGGGTAATTCAGGTTGGAAGAGACCTCAAGAGGTCTCTAGTCCAACCTCCTGCTTAAAGGAAGTACAGTTTGAGATCAGACTGAATTGCTCAGGGCTTTATCAAATCTTATTTCAAGTCTCCAAAGCTGGAGACTGCACAGCCGTTCTGGGCAGCCTGTTCTGCTCAACTGTTGTTATAGTGAAAAAGTTTTTCATTATATCCAGTTTGAGTAGCTCTTATTCTAATATCTGCCTATTGTTTATCTACTAGAGACTGCTGTGAAGAGCCTGGCTCAGTTTCTTGATGACCTCCTTGGAGGTATTGGAAGGCTACTGTTAAGTTCCCTAAAAAAGCCTTCTCTTCTTCAGGCTGAGTAAACACAGTTCACTCTTGCTGAGCAGACTTTGCTTAGAACATGGATTGATTAAGTGAATTTCTTTTTGTCAGTACATTAGTATACACTATTACAGAATAATATGTTAATATAGAATTTGAATTAGTTTAGTTGTCATGTTTTTCTCCTTCTGTGGACTAACTTTAAAGCACTTGTTTTTTGCTGCAAGCTATTAACAAATTCAAACCTAAATTTCACTTTGAGTCTCATGTGACTGATATAAAGCAACATACCACCTCATACAGCATGAGTAAATACATTTTAAAAGGGGTCACAAGCTTATTTGGACTTGGTTTCCTAGAAATTAAAATAGCAACATCTTCTAAAAACTTGGAGATTTTAAGTTTCTCTGCTTTGTTAGACCTGCAACTTTGTCACAGTTGTCAGTGAAATTTTCTGGGGTTTACAGCATACTCATGGTGAAGTACTGTCATTCTAATATAAAATAACCTTTTTTTATTTGGATTCCTCTAATTGCTGTCCTTTTAGAATAGGAGATTTTAATTGAACTAAATAATATAGAATTGTGGTGGGTTAGCCTTAGCTAACAGCCAAATGCCCACCCAGCTGCTCACTTGCCACCCCATCCAGCAGGACTGGGGGGGGGGGGGGAATAGGATGAGAAAGACAGGGAGATTGCTTACCACTTCTTGTCATGGCAGAATTTGGGCAAAATCAATTTGTTGCTGATTAAACAGTTAGTGGGAAACAGAAAGACAAACACTAAAACAGCTTGCTTTCCCTATTTTTTTTCCCTAGTCTCAACTTCACATTTTCACTACAGGCCCCTCTACTCCCAGCTTGCTAGCCCCAAGCAGTGCAGAGTGGGAGAGGTGGGGAATGGGGGATCTGAGATCAGTCCAAAACACTTAGTCTCTGCCATTCCTTCCTCCTTACACTTTTCCCCTGCTCCAGTGCAGGTCCTTTCCAGGGCTGTAGTCCTCTGGGGAAAACTCTGCTCCAGTGGGGGTCCTCCCTGGAATATAGTTCGTTCAGGAAATGTCCCTCTGCTCTGGTGTGGGGTCCTCCATGGGCTGCAGTGTGGATATTTGATCTGCTCTGGAACAACTTCTCCTCCTCAACAGAGTATTGTTGTAATCCAGCTTGCTCTCCTTCCCTCTCCAGCTTCCTCACTCCACTAGCTTCAGAACCAAGTTTTGCTTGACAGCAAAACACAAATGTGATTAGCGAGAGTCCTGCTACTTCACAAAACTATGCAACCTCCATCTTGTAGAGGGACAGTTTAACCTAAAGATACAACGAGATGTCTGCTGAACTTGAAGCAAATGTATTTAAAAATTATAGCTGTCCTCCAATATTTTTAATATTAAAAAGCTCAAGTTCATTAGAACTCGTTGAATCTGGAGCTGGCTACAATTTGAGTACGTTATGAAGCAAGTATCTTTCTCTAGAAACCCTGTTTTTTAAATACATGAAAGGTTTTTAAGTTACATTCTGAAGGTTGTAAACTTTATTTTTAAACCTTTGGAAACAAGAAATCATTATAAAAACATCTTTTAATTTTGAAGATGACTACTAAAATAGTGCACTTAATGATTATAATTTTAGAATTCTATATTTAGTTTTGTCTGTTGCCAAAAGATTCAGATGGCCAGAATAAAATTAATACAAAAGCATGTAATGTTAATTAAAGCTAAATGTAGTTGCAGCTTTGCTTTTGAACTTTTCTTCTTAGCTGTTAAGATCTTGAGCTTGACTTTTTATTTTTCCAGTGCAGTATATTTTTCAGTATGAGCCTCTGCAATGTATTCTTAAAATAGACTTTTTAAAAGAAAATGGATAAACAGGGAAAGGATTTAAACTTTAGTATTTGGTTCATCTTTTCATTTGCAACATAATCCTTATGATGATGCTTTTCTTGCTGTCATGGCTACAGCAACATTTTTCTATTCTTGTTTCCTTTGGTCTTAATAATTGGTATTAATGTGCAAAATTATTTTCTGAATGTTAAATTTTACTTTAACATGTTTGGGTAGTTTATTTTGTTCACCTTTCACAATTGTAACTTAAATGTCTCATTAAATTTTACAGTTTTAATACACCAGTAATTTTTCTGCTGTGCAATCAAGCAATTTCCCAATTTCTGCCTTATTTAATGTTGTCTCTGTCCTGGGTTCAGCAGTAGCAGTCATTTTTCTCCTTCTTAGTAGCTGGTGCAGTGCTGTGTTTTTGACTTTCAGCCTGGGAACAGCGCTGATAACACTGATGTTTTCAGTTGTTGCTAAGAAATGTTTACTCCGACCAAGGACTTTCTGAGCCTCATGCTCTGCCAGGGAGGAGGGGAAGCTGGGATAAAGCAGAGACAGGAAACCTGACCCAAACTAGCCAAAGAGGTATTCCATACCACAGCACGTCATGCCCAGGTTGTAAAACTGGGGGCAGTTACCCGGAAGGGCTATATTCCTGCTTGGTTCGGGCTAGGTATCGGTCGGTGGGTGGTGCGCAATTGTATTCTCTTCCCTTGTTATTTCCCTTATCATTATTATTACTGGTGGTAGCAGTAGTGGTTTGTGTTATACCTTAGTTACTGGACTGTTCTTATCTCAACCCATGGGAGTTGTATTCTTTCAATTCTCCTCCCCATCCCTCCGGGATTGGGGGGAAGAAGGGGGGGTGTGAGCAAGCAGCTGCATGGTTCTGGGTTCCTGACTGAGCTTAAACCATGACAGTCGCCAAGAGAAGCTTACAGATATAGAGAGTTGTCTTTTGACACATGTGAATCATCACTAATTTGCAGATTGAAGTACAGAAAGTGTGGGGATCAGGGGGTTGTTGTTTTAGAGGCTTTTTTGTTTTTCATTCCAAGTGTTCTGGTAGAACTTCTATGCTTTCTCTCAATGACTTACACTCAAGTCATGCTTTATGCATCTTCAGGACTCTCCAGTTACTTTCAAAATAGGTAAGCTTGCAAAATTTCACAAAACAATTATTAGCTCTTATCAACTGTTTGTGGTAGTTCCATGAAGGGAAGAACCTCCATTAACATATAAAGGCAATACTGTCTTCATCTCAGTGCTGCTCTTCTCATAAGAATTTTCCTGTGGAAAACTTACTAATTTATTTTGCATCAAAGCTTTTCCTTTATTTTTCAAATTTTTCTTTAGGAACTGGAAAGTATGTTTTCCAGTGTGAACATTACCACCAAATTCTCATTTGGTAAACTCAGCTTTTAAGTGTTGATAAAGGTTTTCCACTGAATCATTAAAGTTCAAATTGGGTTGCTGAATAATCATACTCATATCTGCAAGAAGTAGTGTGTAGTGTCTGGTTGCCAAAAGGGAATAGAGAAACATCTTATGTACTAGAGATGAATTCTGCAAGAATTTCAGAAGTATTTATAGCTTTTTCTCTGGGAATATCTGTCAGTATGTAGAATTTGCAGAGGAAATGCTAGGTTTAATCTGATTCCAGTATTACTACTTCTTTATTCAACATATATAATAATATAGATATCATTAGTGTCTGTAGTACACTCACAAACCTATTATGGGAGAATGATAATTTGTTAGTCTCTGCACGGAGTTCACAAAATGATTTGCATGGATCCTATGCCACTTAATTATAGATAAAAGCTTCTTACATGCTGTGATTCACTAGTATCTCATCCCATTCAACATGTTAGCTTTCTACCACTCTTAATTTTCATCCTTTGTTATCACTGCCCAAGCATCTGTGTTAAGAAGTTTATATAAACTGACAGATACCAAGTCTGATCCTCAGCAAACCATGAATAGCTATGCTTAAACTAGATACCAAATTTTGCTTGCTGATCTAGTATCTTCCACATGACTTGAAGGTATTCTCAAGGTAGCTAGCTCCCCAAGCTTTGTATTATATATACATGTATATGGGCATATATAATGCATACATTCAAATAAAAAAATCGGCAGCTTTTCAATTGTTACTTCGGGAAAAAAACCCAACAAAACTATACTGGTCATTCCATTTATTTGCATGATGACTATTATTGGCCAATTCATTCTTGCTGTATCAAATGATCATTTAATTTTACAGGAGATAGAGAAAAGGAGAAGGGTTGAAGAATCTTACAAAAATGCTGTGACAGAACTGAAGAAAAAGTCCCACTTTGGAGGGCCAGACTACGAGGTAAAAATTTTGCTTTTCAAGTTTTTAAAAATGCTAAGGCCTTTGAATATTGGTTTGTTTCTTAAAGGAGCGAGAAACTGATACATCCCAAGCATACCAGTCAGATGCCAGCACCTAGACTGAATGCTTGTAGCAATGCAGAGCTACTCCAACTGCTTCAGCCGATGAGTCGGCTGTACTCGGAGCTCGGCTAGCTGCCTCTACACAAATGCATGTAGTATGGGGAATAAACAAGAGGAATTAGAGATGTGTACATGACTACAGGGATATGACATTGTTGGAATCAAAGAAACATGGTGGGATAGCTCCTACGACTAGAATGTTGGAATGGAAGGTTATAGGCTCTTTAGGAAAGGTAGGCCAGGCAGACAGGGAGGGGGTGTAGCTATTTATGTCAATGATAGGCTGGAGAGTACAGAACTCTGCCTGGGGATGGGTGATGAGCCAACAGAGAGCTTGCAGGTCAGGATTAAAGGGAGAACAGTGACAGGGGTCGTTGCTATGGGGGTCTACTACAGGCCATGTCATGGTTTAAGCCCAGATGGTAACTCAGAACCACTCAACTGCTCTCTCACTCTCCCCCTACTTCCCTCCCCCAACTCCCAGAGGGATGGGGAGGAAAATAGAACAGTCCAGTAACTAAGGTATAATACAAAACCACTACTGCTACCACCAATAATAATGATAAAGGAAATAATATGGGGAGAGAATATAAAACTAAAAGAGGAAAAGGAAAAGAAAACAATAAACACAAATACAGTTTCTCACCGCCCACCAACCGATACCCAGACTGACCCAAGCAGCAATCTGAGCCTTCTGGGTAACACCCCCCAGTTTATATACTGGGCATGACATGCTGTGGGATGGAATACCCCTTTGGCTAGTTTGTCTCAGGTGTCCTGTCTCTTCTTCCTCCTGGCTTCCTATGCCACACCTCACTGGCAGAGCACAAGACTGAAAAAGTCCTTGATTGGGGTAACCATTACTTAGGAACAACTAAAACACTGGTGTGTTATCAGCACTGTTCTCAGTCTAAAGTCGAAAATGTGGCACTGCACCAGCTACTAGGAAGGAGAAAAATAGCTGTTAAAGCCAAACTCAGGACAAGCCACCAGATCAGGAGCACTGCATATATAAACTCCTTTATAGGCAGAGAGGAGCAACCTCACACTTGCAAGCCCTTGTCCTCATGGGGGACTTGAACCACAGTGATATTTGTTGGAGGGATGGTATGGCCCAGCACAAGCAGTTCAGGAGGTACCTCGATTGTGTGGATGACAGCTTCCTCATACAAGTGGTAGAAGAGCTGAGAAGTGCTGCCATTCTTGACCTTGTGCTCACCAACAGGGAGGGGCTGGTTGGGAATGTGATCATAGAATCATAGAATAGTTAGGGTTGGAAAGGACCTTAAGATCATCTAGTTCCAACCCCCCTGCCATGGTCAGGGACACCTCCCACTAAACCATGTCACCTAAGGCTTTGTCCAACCTGGCCTTGAACACCGCCAGGGATGGAGCACTCACAACTTCCCTGGGCAACCCATTCCAGTGCCTCACCACCCTCACAGTAAAGGATTTCTTCCTTATATCCAATCTAAACTTCCCGTTTAAGTTTTAACCCATTACCCCTTGTCCTATCACTACAGTCCCTAATGAATAGTCCATCCCCAGCATCCCTATAGCCCCCCTTCAGATACTGGAAGGCTGCTATGAGGTCTCCATACAGCCTTCTCTTCTCCAGGCTGAACAGCCCCAACTTTCTCAGCCTGTCTTCATACGGGAGGTGCTCCCATCCCCTGATCATCCTCATGGTCGTCCTCTGGACTTGTTCCAACAGTTCCATGTCATTTTTATGTTGAGGACGCCAGAACTGCACACAGTACTCCAAGTGAGGTCTCACAGGAGCAGAGTAGAGGGGCAGGATCACCTCCTTCGACCTGCTAGTGATGCTCCAAGGCAGCCTTGGCTGCAGCGATCATTTCACGGTGGAGTTTGAGATCCTCAGGACAGTGAGAAGGGCACACAGCAAGCTCACTACCCTGGACTTCAAGAGAGCAGACTTTAGCCTGTTCAGGAGCCTGCTCAGTACGTTCCCATGTTATAAAGCCCTGGAGGGCAGGGAGCCCAGAAAAGGTGGCTGATATTCAAGGATCGCCTGTTCCAAGCTCAGGAGCGATTTGTCCTGACTAGAAGGAAATGGGGCACGAAAGCCAGTAGGCCTCCATGGATGGACAAGGAACTGCTGAGCAAACTCAGATGGTGAAAAAAGAAGCTTATATATAGTGGAAGGAAGGACAGGCAGCCTGGGAGGAATACAGGGGTGTTGTTTGGGAAGCTAGGAATCAGGTCACGAAAGCTAAGGCCCAGTCAGAGTTGAGTCTGGCCGGGGATAGAATCATAGAATCATTGAACAGTTCAGATTGGAAAAGACATTAAGATCATGTAGTTCCAACCCCCCTGCCATGGGCAGGGACACCCCACACTAAACCATGTCACCCAAGGCTCTGTCCAACCTGGCCTTGAAAACTGCCAGGGATGGAGTATTCACAACTTCCTTGGGCAACCTATTCCAGTGCCTCAACCACCCTCACAATAAAGAACTTCTTCATTATATCTAACCTAAACTTCCCCTGTTCAAGTATGAACACATTACCCCTTGTCCTACCACTATGGTCCCTGAAGAAGACAGGGTGAGAAATTTGGGGCTGTTCAGCCTGGAGAAGAGAAGGCTGTGTGGAGATCTCATAGCAGCCTTCCAGTATCTGAAGGATATAAGGATGCTGGGGAGGGACTCTTCATTAGGGACTGTAGCAATAGGACAAGGGGTAGTGGGTTCAAACTTAAACAGTGGAAGTTTAGATTAGATATAAGGAGGAAATTCTTTACTGTGAGCTTGTTGAGGCACTGGCACAGGCTGCCCAGAGAAGCTGTGGATGCCTCATGTGGTGAGGCACTGGAATGGGTTGCCCAAGGAAGTTGTGAATGCTCCATTCCTGGTGGTGTTCAAGGCCAGGTTGGACAGCACCTTTGGTGACATGGTCTAGTATGAGGTGTCCCTGCCCATGACAGGGGGTTTGGAACTGTATGATCTTAGAGTCCTTTCCAGACCTAACCTTTCTATGATTCTATGATTGATTGGACAGAGTGTGTTTGTGGGTAAATCAGTTTCTGTGGCTGTTCAGGCATGTTCATGCTGCTTTTTATACCTTTAAATGTGAAACTGCATGAAGAATCAGAATCCTTACTTTTTTGAGAATAGAAGTTTTTCTTCAGCTCAGGTTACCTTATTCTGCTTTGGTCTAATATATTTTGCTTACAGATGTTTCTACTGATTTTTTTTATTATTTTAGTATTTTTAAAGAAAAGATAGTTATAATGTTGAGCTTTTTCTACCTGGTTATGAATTCAGCTGCTTCTCCCAGATATCCTTGTTGTAAAGTAGGTTTTTGAAATTTGCTAGACCAATTCATTTTACAATACAATAAAGCGGTAAACCTAGTTTTCTTTAATTTCCATTTTACTTAGTGGACACAAGTTTTTAATAGTTGACTCAAGTCTACTTGCTGTTTGTTGTTTAACGGTTCTTTCCACGAAGTTTCAATAGTGATCCCCAGGATTTTGTCTTGTGTTGTGCTTTCAGCACATATCTGGACAGTGGAATTGAGTGTGCCCTCAGCAAGTTTGCAAATGACACCAAGCTGTGTGGTTCGGTTGATATGCTGGAGGGAAGGGATGCCATCCAGAGGGACACACTTGCGAGGTGGGCTGATGCCAACCTCATGAAGTTCAACCAAGCCAAGTGCAAGGTCCTGCACCTGGGCTGAGGCAATCCCAGGCACAGCTATAGGTTGGGTTGAGAAGACATTCAGAGCAGCCCTGCGGAGAAGGACTTGGGGGTGTTGGTCTATGAGAAACTGAACATGATCAGCAGTGTGCGCTCGCAGCCCAGAAAGCCAACCATATCCTGGGCTGCATCCAAAGGAGCATGACCAGCAGGTCAAAGGAGGTAATCCTGCCCCTCTGCTCTTGTGGAGTATTGTTTACAGTTCTGGGACTCCAAGTACACAATATTTGGAATATTGTGTTCAGTTCTGGTGTCCTCAACACAGAAAGGATATGGAGCTGTTGGAATAAGTTCTAGACTTGGAAGTTCTAGGGCCATGAGGATGATAAGGGGGCTGGAGCACCTCCTGTATGAGGCAGGCTGAGAAAGTTGGTGCTGTTCATCCTGGAGAAGGGAAGGCTGCGTGGAGACCTCATTGCAACCTTCTAGTATCTGAAGGGGGCCTACAAGAATAGTGGAGAGAGACTCTTCATCAATGACTGTAGTGATAGGACAGGGGGTAATGGGTTAAAACTTAAACAGGAGAAGTTCAGGTTAGATATAAGGAATAAGTTCTTTACTGTGAGGGTGGTGAGGCACTGGAATAGGTTGCCCAAGGAAGTTGTGAATGCTCCATCCCTGGCAGTGTTCAGGGCCGGGTTGGACAGAGCCTTTGGTGCGATGGTTTAGTGTGAGGTGTTCCTGCCCATGGCAGGGGGGTTGGAACTAGATCATCTTAAGGTCCTTTCCAACCCTAACTGTTCTATGATTGTATGATTCCATCTAAAATGTACCCTAAAGCACTGGAGTACTTTTGGAAGGCATGTAACTGCACAATTATGTTAATATGTTTACTTCACTGACACAATGTAAACATTTTTAAAAGAAGATATATGTTAATTAAAGCCTAAATCTCATTTCAAAGCATATTGACACTGTTACTCAGTCTTCAGTTTCCTGTTTTTTTGCTTGCTTTGTAGAGCTATGCCTAAATTGTAATTAAAGTAAATAACTTCCTTCAACAAGTAGGGGTTTCAGATGAATTGTAATGTAAGAATATTGTTGAAAATAATTGAGGTCTTTGGAAGAAATTTCCTTCTGCCTGTTTTATGCATGATATGTAAATATCTATTTCTAATATTGAGCTTAAGTGGGGCATTCATGTGTTCAAAATTTTGAACTAGTTTTGTTTCTTATGTTGTAGGAGGGTCCTAATAGTCTGATTAATGAAGAAGAATTCTTTGATGCTGTTGAAGCTGCTCTCGATAGACAGGATCAAATGGAAGAACAGGTATTGATACTTGAGAAATGTGTTAATGATGAGCACTTCATGGAAAACTTCTGTGACTTACTCAGTCCTGGGGCGCATCTCTTGAAACTCTAGATATTTTATACTAACACAAGTGGAATTCTCTAATATTTATACAGTTAAATATCATTGTGAAAGTGACTTCACAACTTGCATAGAAAAGGATAGTTTAAGTGTTAAGCTAATTGAATGTCTCTGGTTTCTAATTCCTAAATAAGTGTATTAGTACTGTTTAAAACTTATCATTATATGTAACTCATGCCCTGTGAAAATAAGACTATCAAATTATTAGTTGTTGTAGCCATTATATAGATTGAAGATACCTCACTTGGTTTTGTAGTCCACCCAGTAGCAACTGACTACCAATAATTAAACCTATTTTATTGCAGTCCCAAAGTAAAAGATTATACTGGCCAACATCCTTACCTTCTGGAGATGCATATTCTGCTGTGGGGGCTCATAGATTTGTCCAAAAGGTAAGATATTTCTCATTATCTGCTCTGAATACTAGGCTGCATTCTATTTCTACATAATATTTTATATGGATAGGTAAGATTCTTTTTTTTAATTAATTTCTTTAGGTGTTTCTAGTATAACTGTCAATGGTTTACTCATTTTCAATTGAAGTAGCTGGAATGGACTGTTTTCTGTCTTGACTAAAAAAAAAATACTGATTTCAGTATCTATTTAGAAAATGCTACACTTGTATCAAGCTTGTCATTTAAGGAATATATTAAAGGAGGAAAAAAACCCAAACAAACTGAATTTGCTAACCTCGGTGTTTTTACGATGCTGTCATGGATTAAACCCAGCCAGTAACCAATTACCATGCAACCGCTTGTTCACACCCCTCTTATCTCCCCCCCCCCCATGGGATGGGGAGGAGAATCGTAAGAATGTAAAACCCACAGGTTGAGATGAGAACAGTTTAATAACTAAAATAAAGTACAGTATAATAATAATGATAAGGAAAATAATGAGGAGAGAGATGTAAAACTGAAAGGGGAAAGGAAAAAAAAAAAATAAACCCAAGTGATGCCCAATACAATTGCTCACCACCTGCCAACTGATACCCAGCCCAACACAGCGGCAATTGGTCCCTTCTGGGTAACTTCCCCCAGTTTCTATACTGGGCATGACATACTGTGTTATGGAATACCCCTTTGGTTAGTTTGGATCAGGTGTCCTGTCTCTGCTTCCTCCCAGCTTCCCGTGCCTCTCCTCCCTGGCAGAGCATGAGAGAATGAAAAGTCATTGATCAGGGTAAGCACTACTGAGCAACAACTAAAACATCTGTGTGTTGTCAGCATTATTTTCAGACTAAGCCAAAACACAGCACTGCACCAGCTACTAGGAAGAAAATTTACTCTATCCCAGCCGAAACCAGGACAGATACCCTCACGCAAATTCATTTAATTGATTAAAAAACAAAACAAAATGAAACAAAACAGTCAAGGATCAGTTGACTTTGTTTAGTTTTTTTAGTGAAAACACTCAATGCTCTTCTTAGGGCTACACTGGACACATTGCATAATAGGTGCATGAAATCAGCATTCACTGCTGTGCTTGCTGCTTATGTTGCTTTTGTTTTCCTTCATTATTTCTTACTTGCAAGTTGGTACTGAATGTTCTGTTGTGCCTTTGCTTTGATTACTTGGTTTTTTCTTTGTCTGTCTCTGGTAGCCCTATAGTTGCTCTTCCTCCATGTCTTCCATTAATCTAGTCAGTGCCTCAGATGTTCACAGGTTCAGCACCCAGGTACTGTATTACTGTGTAGAGTGGGGGTTGCATATCTTTGCTGCGTTTCATCCTCTTCTCTAGAACCTGCATTTTTTGTTTCATCACTGCTAGCATTAAACTAGTATGTTAAAACAGAAAATAAGTTCTCTATTCCTGTACTAAGTAGTTGTCTTTGAGGGTTTCTATTTGATTCAATTACTTTTTTTCTTCCTGGTCTGAAGTGTATTGTCCAAAGGGTACATTGTACAAACAAAATTACTTACATTAATTAAAAGTAAACAACATCTTTCAATTCTATATCAGATCAGAAAAATTTCATTAAGTATTCTTTAATTTTGCTTTATACTTGTACTACTTCCTATATTATGTTTTATAGGTTATAAAGCCTAGTGTGCATAGAATATACTTTTGTAAGTTGTGCAAAAAACACTTATAGGTTCAGGCTATTAATCTTGTGATCGATTGTACACCCCAGACTAATCTGTATGTTGTTCAGTTGACTAACATTTGCTTATAGTGCTTTCCCTTTTTTAAAAAAGGTATTTCTAGTAATTTGGGAAAATTGTGTCAATTACATGGACTTATTTTCTGTGATGAGTTCTAGTAGTTGCTGACCTTTTAGGTTGAAGAGCTATTAAATTGTTTCCATAACTTGTAAACTTTACACAACAATGGATACTTTATATTTTTGTCTCTATTTTTTTGTTTTGTGGGGGAGTGGAATTTGGAAATTGGGGGGACAGACACAAAAGAAACAGAGTAGAATAAAAATGTAGATTTAAAATAAAAATCCATTTCCTGTCCCACCACCTATTTTTATGCATGTTATTTTGAAAAAAAAAAGGTGTTCACATAGCTTGATAAAAATGTATCAAATATTTGGCCTTTAAGAAAAACACACAACTGTCTAGCTAAGTAAGTTTTAAATGAGTATTTTATAATAGTGGAGCCTCTGCATCATTGTGATTTTTTGGAATGCAAGCACTTCTGTTCATTTTTTCTAACAGGCAACTGTGCAAAGATGCTAATGAAACAGAATAGGCATGCTTTGCTTATGCCCATTTCCTTCACTGCTGTTTCAATATGACTTTTGATATGCATTCACTTTTTTAGAGCTGGTCTGTCCCCCTTCTTTGTTCAGCTTTTTAAATGCCCTTCAGCGAATATTGGCTTTCAAGTTTTTCAGTACATTGTAATTCTATTTGGAGATACCTGAAGCAATTTCCTATATACTGAAATAAAACTGTCTTAGGTTGAAATAGCGAGTTTTGACAGTTTAGAGGTGTAAAGGAAGGATAGGGAAGTACCCATAAAGAATGAAGTTGGAAGTTGAGTCAAGATTTTGGCTTTTGCTTCCAAAGGCCAGAAGTATCTGTTTTTGATCTGTGATAGAAGGCTCTGTTGTCGAAGTTCAGCTCCTGCACAGGATTTGAATTATTGACTTGTGGCTTCTAATACTGTACCAGTCCCCTGTCCAAGAAGATGGAAGGAATTATTTAAAAATGTGTATTTTTTTCCTTTAAAGGTGGAAGAGATGGTACAAAATCATATGACATACTCCTTGCAAGATGTAGGAGGAGATGCAAATTGGCAGGTAGTGGTAGAAGAAGGAGAAATGAAGGTAAACATTTGGGTTTTTCCTTAATTGATAAGAGATGATATGCTGTAAAGACAGATATTTTTACTCTCTTTGAATACTATCACGCAGCAAGTTATGCTGTTAAAATGTCTCTCTGAGAATAGAGAACTAGAGTCCACAAGAGCTGCAGCTTCTAATCTATTCAGATTCCTTTCTCATTTTTTCCTACTTAAAACTTGGTATCAAAATGGTGTGTAAATTCAATGTATGAAACTGTTATATGGTAGCAAGTTATTGTTGGCTATTCCGCTGTGCTTGTATACATTCTTGTGCATAGTGATAAATAAGGTAGCTTAATTTTTGGAGTAGAGACTCATAATACTGGTATTTTAATGTGAAGTGCCATGCAAGAACATCTGCATTGGTAGTTACCAGAGAACACTGACATGACAAATTATTCATGTGTTAGTCTTCTAGGTAAGTTTTTATCAAAGCTGAAGAAACTTTAAACAATTAAAACACGCATCAGTAAAGAGGATCAGTACTAGTGCCTCCAGGAAAAAGCGGCAGGTCATAGTAGAGGTTGACTCTACTTTCAAGGTCACAGATGCACCCATTTTTTGGCCTGACCCAGTTTCGAGAGAGGTGTGTTGCCTACCAGGAGCTCAGATCAGGAATGCTGCTGAGAGGCTGCCTGGTCTAGTAAGTCCCACTGACTATTAACCACTTTTCATGGGTGTTTAGTGATAAACACAGCAGTAGCCTGGAGAACATCAAGAAAGACTACAGAGCCCTGGGAGAGGTGGTTAGGGGATCTGGAGATCAGATGATAGTTTTTTCAATACTCCAGGTCAGACGGGAGGACACTGAAAAGACCAGGAGGATTTGGCAGGTTAATAAATAGTTAGAACAGTGGTGCTATGGTCAGGGGTTTGGTTATTTAGAACATGGGACTTGATTTGGGAGGCCAGGTCTACTGGAGGCTGGTGGAGCTGTTCTGACAAAGAAGGGAAGAGCTGCTTTTGGTAGGAGATTTGCCAGGCTGGTCAAGGCAGCTTTAAACTAGATGTAAGGATATAAGGAGGAAGTTCTTTACTGTAAGGGTGGTGAGGCACTGGAATGGGTTGTCCAGGGAAGTTGTGAATGCTCCATCCCTGGCGGTGTTCAAGGCCAAGTTGGACAGAGCCTTGGTTTAGTGTGAGATGTCCCTGCCCATGGCAGGGGGGTTAGAACTAGATGATCTTAAGGTCCTTTCCAACCCTAACTATTCTATGATTCTGTGTTGGGGGAAGGGGGCATTGATCCTTCCCAACACTCCCAGGCAGTTGCCAGCACCTGTAATAAATGCTTGGAGCAATTCAGAGATATTTCAGCTGCTCCAGCCAATGAGGCTTCATTTGGAGCTCAGCTCAGATGCCTCTATAAAAATGCCCGTAGTGTGGGAAATAAACAAGAGGAATTAGAGATGTGTGCATGGCTATGGGGATATGATATCACGGCCATCACAGAAACATGGTAGGATGGCTCCTATGACTGGAGTGTTGGAATGGAAGGTTACAGGCTCTTTAGAAAAGACAGGCCCAGCAGACGGGAGGGGGAGTACCTATTTATATCAGTGATAGGCTGGAGAGTATGGAACTCAATCTGGGAACAGGTGATCAGTTAACAGAGAGTTTGTGGGTCAGGGTCAAAGGGAGAATGGCGATGGGAGACATCACTGTGGGGATCTGTTACAGACCACCTGGTCAGGAGGACTCTGTGGATGAAGGTCTCTATAGACAGATAGGAACAGACTCATGCTTGCAGGACCTTGTCCTCATGGGGGACTTCAACCACCCTGATATATGTTGGAAGGATGGTACAGCTCAGCACAACCAACCCAGGAGTTTCCTCAATTGTGTGGAAGACAACTTCCTCTTTCAAGTAACAGAGGAGATGACAAAGAGAGGTGCCATGCTTGACCTTGTGTTCAACAACAGGGAGGGTCTTTTTGGGAATGTGGTGCTCCAAGGCAACCTTGGCTGTAGTGATCATGAGATGGTTGAGTTTGACATCCTCAGGACAGTGACAAGGGCACACAGGAAGCTTACTGCCCTGGACTTCAAGAGAGCAGACTTTGGCCTGTTCGGGAACTTGCTCAGTAAGGTTCCATGGGATAAAGCCGTAGAAGGCAGGGGGGCCAAGGCTGCTGGTTGATATTAAAGGATCACCTGCTCCAAGCTCAGGAGTGTTGCATCCGAAATAGAAGGAAGTGTGGCAGGAGGGCCAGGAGACCTCCATGGCTGAATAAGGAGTTGCTGATATGAAATAGGAACTCACTCCTCTAAACAAGATAACAAGGTTTTATTGAGGGACAAAGTCAATAAAGCAAAAGCAAAAGGGATGGGCACATGACCATAGCCAGAGGTGCAACTGATTAGTATTTGTTACAGGTTTATATACTTTCACTATTGCATTAGTCACATACATATTCATAATTCCCACATATAGGTGGGGAATATTATAACTAGCTCCAGGAACTTATTAGCATAAATCCCCTCCTCTTGGCTTCTGCCCACTGCTCTCCAGTGATTGTGGGCAGGGGTCTTGATGATGAAGTAAGCAGTCTTCCTCTTGTGAGTAGGGGTCTTCAAGATGAAGTAAGCAGTTTTCCTCACAGTTTACTTTTCACCTTTGGCATAGTTGGACACCCCAGTAATCACACAACTAGCTGAAACCAGCCATATCTGTAATTCTTCTGATAACTAGCAAAGATTTAGAACAGTGCGACCTTCCTGCAAAATTCATTGCAGGACGGGCAGACAAGGAGTATCCCAAGCTAGCAGATGTTTGGGAGGCTCTGTCTCTAAACTAACTGATAAGTAGAAGGATGGTGTGAAATAACTCATTTTTGTTTAGTGGGGCCACTAAATCCTGTTATCTCACCAGAGACTTACAACACAAACATTGTTCTTTAAAGCTAAAGATACTTTAGAAGACTAGTGTGAAACAACTAACTCATGTTTAATGGGGCCACTACATTCCACAGACTTACAACATGAACATTGTTCTCTTTCTACAACTAAGCTAAAATGTATTTTAACTCTATGTTTTCAAGGCGCTAGCTTTTCTTATATCAAGACGTCATGTCCCCCCCCTTTCTTTTAGCTTTACAAATTATTTTGCTATGTGACTCCGTTTTGCTCAAGAGTTCTAGCCCTTTTTAACTTGTTGTCTAATCTTGTGTCTTTAGCAAGCTTTGTTTCTGTTATTGTAAACTTGTACAGTTATATCCACATAACCACACCTATGATTTGCGAAAGCCAATACATTTATGTGTTTATCACACTGAGGAAACTTAAGAGGGGAAAAAAGAAGCTTATAAAAGGTGGAAGCGAGGACAGGGGGCCTGGGAAGAATACAGGGACGTTGTCCAAGAAGCTATGGACCAGGCCAGGAAAGCTAAGGCCCAGTTAGAATTAAATCTGACACTTTCCCGCATTACGTCCTTGTCTCTACAATTGGAAACACATCGATTTGATGGCTGGACCACTCTGTGGACAAAGAACTGGCTGGATGGCTGCATGCAGACTGTTGTGGTCAACAGCTGAATGTCCAGATGGAGACCAGTAGCAAGTGGTGTCCTTCAGGGATCGGTGTTGGGACCCATCCTGTTCGACATCTTTGTTAGTGACTAAGACAGTGGAATTGATGTGCCATCAACAAATTTTTGACGACACTAAGTTATGTGGTTTGGTTGACATGCTGATGGAAAGGAATGCCATCCAGAGGGACCTTGACACGCTTGTGAGGTGGGCCAATGCCAACCTCATTGTCCTGGGTTCAGCAGTAGCAGTCATTTTTCTCCTTCTTAATAGCTGGTGCAATGCTGTGTTTTTGACTTTCAGCCTGGGAACAGTCCTGATAACACTGATATTTTTAGCTGTTGCTAAGAAATGTTTACTCCAACCAAGGACTTTCTGAGTCTCATGCTCTGCCAGGGAGGAGGGGAAGCTGGGAGGAAGCAGAGACAGGACACCTGATCCAAACTAGACAAAGAGGTATTCCATACCACAGCACGTCATGCGCAGGTTGTAAAACTGGGGGCAGTTACCTGGAAGGGTTAGATCACTGCTCGGGTCAGGCTGTGTACTGGTCAGCGGGTGGTGAGCAGTTTTATCCTCTTCCCTTGTTTTTTCCCTTAGTATTATTATTATTATTGGTGACAGTAGTAGTGGTTTTGTGTTATACCTTAGTTGCTGGACTGTTCTTATCTCAACCCATGGGAGTTCCATTCTTTCGATTCTGCCCCCCCATCCCTCCGGGAGCAGGGGGGAGGAGCGGGGAGTGGGGGGGAGACTGCGTGGCTGACTGGGTTTAAACCCCAGCACTCATGGAGTTCAACCAAGCCAAGTGCAAGGTCCTACACCTGGGTTGGAGCAATCCCAGGCACAGCTACAGGTTGGACAGAGAAGAGATTCAGAGCAGCCCTGCGGAGGACTTGGGATTATTGGTTGATGAGGAACTTAGCATGAGCCAGCAGTGTGCACTTGCATCCCAGAAAGCCAACCGTATCCTGGGCTGCATCAAAAGGAGCGTGACCAGCAGGTTCGAAGAAATTGATCCTTTCCCTGTACTCTGCTCTCATGAGACCTCACTTGGAGTACCATGTACAGTTCTGGTGTCCTCAACATAAAAAGGACATGGAGCTATTGGAGCAATTCCACAGGAGGCCACGAGGGTGATAAGGGGCCTGAAGCACCTCCTGTGTGAAGACAGGCTGCGAAAGTTGGTGTTGTTCAGCCTGGAGAAGGCTGCATGGAGACCTCATAGCAGCCTTCCAGTATCTGAAGGGGGCCTACAAGGATGCTGGGGATCCCCTTCATTAGGGGCTGTAGCAGTAGGACAAGGGGTGGTGGGTTCAAGCTTAAATGGGATGTTTAGTTTAGATATAAGGAAGAAGTTCTTTACTGTGAGGGTGGTGAGGCACTGGGATAGGTTGCCCAAGGAAATTGTGAATGCTCCATCCCTGGTAGTGTTCAAGGCCAAGTTGGATGGAGTCTTGGGTGAAATGGTTTAGTGTGAGGTGTCCCTTGCGCCACGGCAGGGGGGTTGGAACTAGATCATCTTAAGGTCTTTTCCAACCCTAAGTGTTCTATGATTCTATTCTAATAGTTTTGTCAGTTTTTGTTCTGCATTTCTTTCTTTGTATTTGGCCATAGGTGTACCGAAGAGAGGTGGAAGATCATGGAACAGTTTTAGATCCTTTGAAAGCAACACATGCTGTTAAAGGAGTAACAGGGCATGAAGATTGCCACTACTTCTGGAACGTCAATGTTCGTAACGACTGGGAAAGTAAGGAATCAGTTCTTAAGCTTTGCATTTTTATCAGCAAGCATATTGTTTATAACATTGACCTGATGTTTGTGCTTGTTTACTGATGGATTCCCCCCCCCCCCCCCTTTTAGCAACAATTGAAAATTTCCATGTTGTGGAAAATTTAGCTGATGATGCAATCATCATTTACCAGATGCATAAGGTAATAACACTTCACCTGTATACACACCTTAGTTAGCCTGGGGCATACGCGTTCTAATCTATTCTGAAATACTTTAACATCTGAACAAGTTAAAATACTATTCAAAACAGAGGTTCAGAACAGGTTCTCTATTAAACTGCAACTTTTTCAATTTTTAAAACTTGGCTTGATAGCATAATTGGATGTGTATGTGTCTGATAGGGCTTGTAATAACAAATGAGTTCTTTTTTTCATCTAAGTATATCACTGCCAGCAAGCAAGGGTCATCTAAAGCAAGCTAAAGCAATAAATTGACATTGACTACAGGGACGAAAACAATACCACTGTGTTTTGTTACAGTAATGAAGGCTATTGTTGAGCACGATTAGTTGACATATGCATTTGCATTATGATGTGGTATAATTGCTGGTACATTTGTTCTTTAAACTTCATTATGTTTTTTCACCCCAACCGGTTCTGATGTAGCTTTACTAAAATATTCCTATCAACCCAATAACTGTAACCTAACAGGTTAAAAAAAAAACCCTGGGAATGGAGTGAACAAATTCACCTTTAATCTTGCATGATTCCAAGTATTAGTATACTCAAATACTCAAATGTTAAAACAAATATTTTGGGTTTCTTACAATTTTCCTAATAATGTAGTTAACTTAAAGCTGCCTTAACAACAGATTCCAATTTTTAAATAAGGCATTTGTATGAACTGTATAGTGTTGTGGTAAAAGTTAGACTTTTTTCCCCTACTGAGTGTCAGGAAAATGGCTTCTGTGCCGTTTTACTTTATTTTATCAGACACTTGGCTTCTGAAACTTTCTCTTAAATAATACCAGTTTACCGTATTTGTTTCACTAAAGTAGAAGTTTCTTGAAATATTTGTTATAAATATGTCTTTCTCTCTTTTACTCTCTCTGTCTCTCTCCATATTTATGGAGACATAAATAACTGTAGATGCATCTATTTATACTTAACCAGTAGTTCAGTTTGTAGCTTACAAGTATTAACTGAAATATAAACCTGAGATTGAGAGAACAGGAGGGGAAATGCCTCTTCCTGGGTGTCTACTGAAAAAGTAGCAGCTTGGCTCCCTGCCTTTCAAAGGTCTTAAAATTTTGCTTTATTTTTTTTAAATTAAGTATAGACATATAACCTGATAAACATATGTCCTGGGTTCAGCAGTAGCAGTCATTTTTCTCCTCCTTGGTAGCTGGTGTAGTGCAGTGTTTTGACTTTCAGCTTGGGAACAGAGCTGATAGCGATGTTTTGGTTTGGCCAAGGACTTTGTGAGCCTCATGCTCTGCCAGGGAGGAGGGGAAGCCAGGAGGAAGCAGAGACAGGACACCTGACCCAAACTGACCAAAGAGGTATTCCATACCACAGCACGTCATGCCCAGGATGTAACTGGGAGTGAGCCGGAAGGGCTGGGAGACTGCAGGGTTGGAGGAGGTATCGGTTGGAGCTTGGTTGGGCTTGGGGGGCGAGTTATCGGTCAGCTGGTGCTGAGGTGTTGTATTCTCTTCCCTTGTTATTTCCTTTATCATTATTATCACTGGTGGTAGCAGTAGTGATTTGTGTTATACCTTAGTTACTAAACTGTTCTTATCTCAACCGGTGGGAGTTGCATTCTTTTTGATTCTCCTCTCTGTCCCTCCGGGAGTAGGGGGAGGGAAAGAAGGGGGGGGAGTGAGTGAACGAGTTACCTGACTGGGTTTAAACCACGACAGTTCTTTTTTGGCGCCCAACATGGGGCACGAAGGGTTGAGATAACGACAGATCTGACTGGATTAATAGTCACTCGTCACAATGCTGATTTATTGGCTCTCAGAGTTGTTCTTGTTGATCTCACAGCTTCAGAATGTTGTAACTTACTTAGAGCCGGTATTTGCTGTGTTAGTGTTTATCAAGTGTGGGGCCTGGGCTAAGGTTCTTGTCTCACTGTGCTTTATGGCAATGGCTTGTAATACGGGTGGGCTCCAGCAGCAGGGCGGGACGGACGTGGCCGTGGACTTGTACCTGGCCGTCTGGCTGCTCTTCACCGTCCTGGCCCTCACCCTGCTCTCCATCTTCGTGAGGCTGCGGGGAGGCGAGGGGGAGCGGCCCCGGGAGCCGGCGGCAGCCGAAGCGGGCTCAGGAGAGCGGCCCCGGGGACCAAGCGGTGGCGGGAGCGGGGCCGGAGGCCGCGAGGGGACGGCTGCCGGTGGAGGAGGTCGGGGCGGTCGAGGAGCAGAAGGAAGCGGCTGCTGAGCAGCGGGATAAGGTGGTAGAGGAGCCGAGCCCCACGGAGGAGCCGAGCCCTTCGGAAGAGCCGAGCCCCGCGGCCGAGCCGAGCCCCGTGACAGCCGAGAGCATTCCCCGGAAGCCGCCCGCCGAGCCCCAGGAGGATGCAGGAGACCACGCAGCATTTCCCAGCAAGGCAGAGGAGGAAGATCTGGACTCAGGAAAAGAGAAGCTGGTGGTGGGAGAGCCGGCAAGCACAGCAGCTACACCAGCCCCAGTGACAAGTACAGCAGCATCGTGTGAGAGTTCTGAAGGTTTTGAATGGCCTTTGGGTACCCTTGGGACCTGCCTGCTGATTATCATGGGGATCAGCATGTTGGCACACACACAGGCTGTGTTCTACCCACAACCATTTTGTCTGATCTCAAAAGTTAAGCAGAGTCAGGTTTGGGTCTTGTCTGGGGTTAGATGACAATATAGGGGGACCAAGAGGTTTTCCCCAAGGCTGAACAGTCATGAGTGGCAGGGTGTGTGGGACAGTATGGGCTAGTATCTAGTCCACTGGGCCCCTCCAGTGCTTTGGAAGCATCGGAGATGGAAGGCATCTGTATGGAGTCCCCAACAACAAGCTGCAGAAACTGCTGAAGGGGACACTGAATTATTTTGAGCCTGGTGGGACCATGGCACTTCAGGCCATCAGAACAGAGATGCAACATAGAGATGGACTCATGATCGAGGGGTGGACTTAGCAATGGACACTATTGCCCAGGTTATTCACGAGTGTGAACACTGCACACAGTCTCTCCTGCTCTGGAAGACTGTTACAAGAGATGGAGCCTGACATCATGGACCAGATGGACTCAGCAGCTTTATAGGGACTGGTCCATGCACTAAGATAAGAGTGCACTGAGATAAGAGTGATGGTATATTGAAAATGTGGGATCTGAGCACGACGTGAATGGTATGGAATAAGGGGTGGATAATGTCCTGGGTTCAGCAGTAGCAGTCATTTTTCTCCTCCTTGGTAGCTGGTGTAGTGCAGTGTTTTGACTTTCAGCTTGGGAACAGAGCTGATAGAGATGTTTTGGTTTGGCCAAGGACTTTGTGAGCCTCATGCTCTGCCAGGGAGGAGGGGAAGCCAGGAGGAAGCAGAGACAGGACACCTGACCCAAACTGACCAAAGAGGTATTCCATACCACAGCACATCATGCCCAGGATGTAACTGGGAGTGAGCCGGAAGGGCTGGGAGACTGCAGGGTTGGAGGAGGTATCGGTTGGAACTTGGTTGGGCTTGGGGGGGCGAGTTATCGGTCAGCTGGTGCTGAGGTGTTGTATTCTCTTCCCTTGTTATTTCCTTTATCATTATTATCACTGGTGGTATCAGTAGTGATTTGTGTTATACCTTAGTTGCTAAACTGTTCTTATCTCAACCCGTGGGAGTTGCATGGAGCTATTGGAGCAATTCTACAAGAGGCCACGAGGGTGATAAGGGGCCTGAAGCACCTCCTGTGTGAAGACAGGCTGCGAAAGTTGGTGCTGTTCAGCCTGGAGAAGAGAAGGCTGCATGGAGACCTCATAGTAGCCTTCCAGTATCTGAAGGGGGCCTACAAGGATGCTGGGGAGGGACTCTTCATTAGGGACTGTAGCAGTAGGACGAGGGGTGGTGGGATCAAGCTTAAACGGGAAGTTTAGTTTAGACATAAGGAAGAAGTTCTTTACTGTGAGGGTGGTGAGGCACTGGGATAGGTTGCCCAAGGAAGCTGTGAATGCTCCATCCCTGGTAGTGTTCAAGGCCAAGTTGGATGGAGTCTTGGGTGAAATGGTTTAGTGTGAGGTGTCCCTTGTGCCACGGCAGGGGGATTGGAACTAGATCATCTTAAGGTCCTTTCCAACCCTAATTGTTTTATGATTCTATGATTCTATTAAAGGAATACAAGGGAAAATGTGGGAGCTCTCTGGAAGGAAAGTGGAGAACTGGTCATCTGGACATGGAGGAAGCCAAGGTACTCAATGCTTTTTTTTCTTCGGTCTTCAGCAGCAAGAGCTCCAGCCGCTCTGCCCATGTCGAAGAAGGCAAAGCCATGGATTGGGAGAATGAAGAACTGCCTTTTGTAGGAGAACGTAAATTTTGAGGTCATCTAAGAAACCTGAACATGCACAAATTCATGGGACCTCATGAAATGCATCTACAGGTCCTGAGGGAACTGGTGGATATTGTTGCTAAGCCATTATCTATCATATTTGAGAAGTTGTGTCTGTCAGGTGAAGTTTTTTCTCTGGAAAAGCGAAATATAACCCCCATTTTTAAAAATAGGAAAAGGAAAGTGCAGGGAACTACAGGCCAGGCAGTCTCAGCTCAGTCCGCTCTCAAGCTCATGGAGCACATCCTCCTGGAAACTATGCTAAAGCACATGGAAAATAAGCAGGTGGTTGGTGACAGCCAGCATGGCTTCACTAGGGGCAAATACTGTCTGACAAATTTTATGGCCTTCTATGATGGGAATATGGAGTTGGTGGATAATGGAAGAGGCACTGACATCTACCTGGACTTGTGCAAGGCATTTGATAGTGTCCTGCACAACATCCTTTTCTCTAAACTGGAGAGACATGGGTTTGATGGACGGACCACTTGACGGATAAGGAATTGTCTGGATGGTCACACACAAAGACTTGTGGTCAACGGCTCGATGTCCAAGTAGAGATCAGTGACGACTGATGTTCCTCTGGGGTCAGTATTGGGACTGGCACTGTTCAACATATCAGCAACATGGACAGTGTGATTGAGTGCACCCTCAGCAAGTTTGCTGATGACACCAGGCTGTGTGG